ATATATATATATATATATATATATATATATACCGTGTACTGTTCGCTTCGTTCGATACGCTTGCATTCTTGATTTATCATGTAACGGAAATAGTCCAAATTTCGTCACCCACTACATCCCGCCACTACAATCTACTGTACTGTGAGTCATCCCAGTTTTAGCCTAAGAGTTGACGATTCAGCACAGTGTGTTTGGTGCTCGTGCTGAGTTTGACGTCTTGTTCCAGATGATGATACGGAAGAGGTATTTACAACTGTCATGACACAGTTTAGTCTATCATCAAACAAGAGGGAATCCTCAATAGCTTCGGCACTTGAAATTCTTTTAGGCAGGATTAGAGTAAAATAATCTATGAGACCTTTTTTCTCCCTTTTTTTTTTATTATCTGTATTTTTGTACCAAGCGTCGGGCGCGCGTTTAGCGAATTCAGTTTTATTACTCATCAGGATCTCTACCAGCCTACCCTCAAGTTGAAATTATTTTAGAATTAGAGTAAATTAATCTACGAGACCTTGAAATCGGAAGGGTTTGTCCTCCCGAGTCCAAAACTGTAATTATATTTCAAATCAGTCAAGATATGACGGAGCTATGAGCTAAAAGTTTGTACTTGAAAAAAAAAACCCAAAAGACTTAGATTCATTCTATGAGCTGCGGCTAAAAATAAACAAAAGAACTCGGTGAAGTTTCAGGGGCTATAAAAGAGGGGGTTGCAAACATAAAACAAAGGATCAATTAGGTGCGCGAGTTTAGCGACAACAGAAATCTGTAGAGTTAATCCAAACACTCCTTAATTTTTATTTAAAATTATGAACGGTTTATTTTTATAACTAAAATAATGTAAAAAAAAATGAGTTCGACATTTAATAAAAAGGACAGTTGTAACCACTCTGCTGTTCAATAAACTTGTACTTATACTTCATAAGAAACTTGATTCGGTTCTTAACTCGAGTACGACCAGGTGCCAAACCTACAAATGTTACGTCACAGATTGTTGGCATGGATACGATAGTCTGCCAGTTCTGTAGGATAAGCCATAGACCATTTACGAAGAAAAAAGAAAGATTGGAAGTCACCTGTTTCATCGCCACTTTTCTGTTTCTGTTAGGGCATTTTCTGATGCCGTATTTAAATGGTCATTTTGTTTCAGCCCGGCTGCTAAGGGGTTGATTATTCCGTTCGGTCAACAAGGTCTCTTTAAAAAAAAAAAAGACTTTTCGCTCTGTTATTATTCTTACGATCAGAACATGAAATATTAATCAACGAAGATTAGTTTACTGCTTCTTAGTTAAATTCACAATGGTTGAAAGATGACCTTGTAATAAGGGGGGTTTTTGGGCAGGGTTAAAGTGTAAGAGCAGGCGATGTTTGCTGAGATATCAAAGTCACTCACTAATATACTCAAGACAGATGCAGTTTTTTTCAAACTTCAAATTAATATAAGTACTACGTGGGCGCCCTCGGTTTGTTTTCGGACATTCACGCAACGCTACACAAGAGCTATCTGAGTTGAAGTGATAGACTACAGGGAAGCAGTTAGTTAACAGCACCAACCGCCAACTCCTGAGCTACGCTAATTGAATAGTGGGATTTCGTTGTCACTGTTATCACGAATCCATAGCCCAAAAGCGCGGAGCACGATTGGTTTTTGAGGCAACGGGACACAAACCATAAACTCACGCATCTACAGTCTGGAAAGCTAGCCAGTAAACCACGCCCGATTCCCACCATTTAGGAGAACTATATACAGAGTAAGGGCTGTTTCATGAAATGAAGAAAAGTTAATTTTACAACGATATGAATACATGTATATAAATCACATTTATTGAAAGTATTTTTTGTACAAGTGGCGATTACTGACGTCAGAGGTCAGCTCTAGAAGGTATTTTATACAGTGATGATTTAACAACATACCTTACAGGTACAGATGAACAGAGAATCAAGTTGTAATACAAAAAGTATTTAATATTTTGCTTTTCCTGTTCTTCTTTTTCTTGTTTTGGAGAGCTCGAACCCTTCGTTTTCATTATCGAATGCCCAACATAATTAGGGGTAGTGACGTCATTAACAAAACTTGCATTATATCTAAAAAAAACTCTAAAAATAAAAAACAAGCAAACAAAACGCATTCAGTTCTTGACGTATCATACACAGTGCCATCTCTCTCTCCAGGCTCGTGGATACGGATGAGCGAATGACGTTATAAGTACAGGGATCGTTTAGTGTAATTCAAGGTTTAATACCGAAACCTCTTGAGGAACGTGTGATAAGAAACAACGTTTCACAAACATTCGAGGCTTAAAAATCTTTTCTTGCATCATATTTGATTTGTTTGTTAAATCTCGTGTAAAGCTTTGTTTTTTAAAAAGTCAATTATTTGACGAAAGTTGGAGTAACATAATGGAGAGACTTGACGTTAATATTGTGGACATCTGGAAAACAACATTCTCAGTTCGTCATTGGCTACTTCAAGTACCTAAATGACGTTTCCTGTACTAGGTGCGACAGTGTATATTTTATAACGTTCTTTGATAGATCTTTTTTTTTTTTTGTACATAATCCCTGAGAGTGCTTGAAATTAAGAAGATAAGTAATAAGTATTCATTCGAATAATGTTGAACCATTTTAATTCTAAATCAGTACGATTGAAGTCAGAGTACTTCATCATTACGTTATCATAATAATTTGGCAAAACGCAAAGGCCATATTGCTGCTGTTAAAGACGGAGCCTTAATTTGACAAAACGTCAAAGCATATAGCAAATGTATCGTTAAAAAGGGGAGAGGCCTGAATTAACACACCACAAAGACTGTAACTATTGCAGTTAAAAAAGAATCAAAAACTTTGGTTTAACAAACAATGGCGACTATATTGTTGCTGTTAGTAAAACAACAACAACAACATTGGTTTAACAAACAGCAGAGACTTTATTGTTGCTGTTAGTAAAACAACAACAACAACATTGGTTTAACAAACAGCAGAGACTTTATTGTTGCTGTTAGTAAAACAACAACAACATTGGTTTAACAAACAGCAGAGACTTTATTGTTGCTGTTAGTAAAACAACAACAACAACATTGGTTTAACAAACAGCAGAGACTATATTGTTGCTGTTAATAAAACAACAACATTGGTTTAACAAACAGCAGAGACTATATTGTTGCTGTTAATAAAAC